TAATGTTCATCGGTGATTACTTCTTGAAAGTCTTTTACTTATAATAGTTGTTTAGAAGTTGTTTATTTTTAGATTTGGATGTGTAAACATAAATATAATTATCACATATAATATATATATTTTTCATTTGTCAACTACTTCAAATGCATCTAGATAGATCCTACGTGAAATTCAATCCACGATTTGTAATAAAATACTTTCGAACTCGAAGTATACAACGAACTCTTCATAGACACGCAATTCAAAAAACTCTCAGCTACGACGCCAATCAGAACGCCATCAGTAACAACCGGATTTCCATTATCAAACTGTCGGGAATTACAGTTCATATTACTATCAATATCTGTTCTCATAATTGTTTCATATTACATTTTCAACTTTTATAGCAATTTATTCTGTGATTTTTATATACTTACATGACACATTCCTTCGTTCACTTCTGAATCAAGCAACAGTAAATACTTTTTATACCACTCCGGATATATAAAAGCGTATCCCTTTACTACAAGCTCTTGCAAAGTGTTAGAATGCGGTACTAATAAACTCGCCTAAAAATAAATCATTGGCTTTGTATACAAGTTTTTTATCTCGAATTACATTTTATGAGACAGTTACTTCTGAAATTCAAATGATATGACGGATGTTGTACCTCCTTTTTTCCCCAGCCAGTTACAATGAAAGGATAATTATCATAATTTCTGTCACTATCTGGTAATTTAATTGGCTGGACGTTCTCGTTAAACACGATGTCTCTTAATACACGAACTAATGCAATGTCATTAATGCCATAGTAATTTCCTTCAGCATCATAACCAGCGTGTGGTATAAGAGCGTCCACTCGATACTTGGTAGTTTCGTTGAGAAGAACGCTTCCAACGCCGACATGTATAGACTGATACTGCCAACTGTCGAGTCTGAAAATTAAATGGATAAGTACTTGCGTGTGTTTAATAAAAAAGTCAGTAGATTTATAAATCGAAGGCGGGATTGGACTTATTTCTTCCCTTATGAGTTTCATCATTCACATTGAATAAAAAAATCTATCAGTATTGCAAAATAAAGCAGTAACAATAATTATTATTACCGCAACAGTAAAATACACGAAGATTTTGTGCGGATTGGCGAAATACTTATCAGTTTGATAAAACGACGTTGTTAACCGCCATTGCAGACGCACACTCGAGATAACCGTTGAGATAATAAGTAAAAATAAAAAGCACAACGACGAGTGATAGATTCAATCATTTTGTCAAAAGCACATAAATGTCGATGTCTTGTAAATAGTGGATCGTCGATTTGTCATATTTATGAAACAATTCTGTCGTTCTGTGTAATTTTAATACTTATATAAACAGAAAACAAAACGTGAATTTATTTATTAGTTTATATTATTTATTTACAAAACTTCGGATGNTTTCTCTTGTAACAATTGTACCTATAATATTACCTGTACATCAGAAACTTGTAAGTATAATAATAAAATATACGTACAAAGCAANACAGTTCGCGGCTGTTATAACGTAACGTTTAGTGATGATGGCTCCGCCACAAAAATAGTCAAGAAGAATCGTTCCACTTTTTTGAACAAAAAGTGCCGCCTGATAAGGATGCGGATACAATGCATCGTCACCGCCGAGAATTTGCAAGCTTGGAGAAACTATGTTAATAAAAACACAGTTAATAAAANAAANTNNNAA